AAATAAAAGCTGATATGTGCTGAATGTACTCCACATTGCCTTATAAAAATTTAAGAAGATGCTTCAACTTACCAACACCAGCCACTAAAACCTTCAATTCACCTTTGCCAGCAATTTTAGTCATAACTAAATGAAGGCCAACAAGATCTGCAAAGTCGACTGTGGATCTAAGAAATTCCTGAAAGAGGAAATAGAATAATTAAGTTAAGCTCTAATAACTGGAAATCTCTCCATTCAACCACTAACAAATATATATACATTAGCTATAGCATTTCTTCTGTTTAATCAATTGATGTGATCACTTTAGGTTAAGTTAAATAACACTAAGTATAAATATTTCTTGTGTCCAAAGAATAGTTAAGCTATGTAAAATGATATGGTCAAAATTACACCTGTAGTAACAGGAAAATAGAAAGTTACAAAAGTGTAGTTCTTTATGTTTTGCAACTTATGCTTCTGATACATTTGAGCAAATCCTCTATAATGTTTCCTATACAGTACTATAGCATTAATGCTGACCTACCCCTATAAAGTCGATATGACCTGCAGAAACATCTGATGTGGGAAAGAAAGTTGCTAATACCAACATCTGTAAAAAAAAAATAGACAGTCAGGAAATAATTATGACAGAAAAAGCCAGATTTACACATACATGTAGACTGCAGACTGTTCTGTTCTTGTTCCCTTAATTGTTTATTGTTTGTCACTTTTATCTTGTCTCTGTTCTATCAACAGGTATTTTAAACCTTTTTTATTCCTCTTCTTTCTTAAAACTTTTCTGGCTTGTCAAACTCCCACACTATAGAATACTGTATCACAAAAAACTGGACACAGACTAGAATATGTTTTCACAACTTGAAAGCATGTAGCTTTTTGGTATAAAGACCAATTAAGGTTAAAAAACTAACACTACAACTACAGTGTCAACTCATTCACAGAGACACTCTACTTCATGCCAAAATCTCTCAAAAAACACTGTTAGATTGACAAATTTTGAAACCCAAATACACCTCAAACTGTGCTGAATCCACCTGGGCATGACAGACAACATTTTAAATTTTGTGGATGCTAAGTGCATAAAATGTGCACAAATCTGGCAAGTTCATAAAGTCACTCTGAATTTCCTCAATCAGACAGCTTAAATTTAAAACTGAAATTTTTTATTTTAAGAATATTAAAAACAAAACAAATTATAGGTGAATCTTTAACTCCCAGGAGTGACCAAGACAGAACTTCTCCTTACAATATCAAGCATACAACTGATGAGAATGAAAAAAAAAACCACTCAGAGGATTATTAGTTGACCCAATATTAAATTCTCTAAACCAACATTATGAGACTTTTATGGTAGACAGCAAGGATAATTACTAATGAGATCTTGTGAGTGAGGGTTAAGAACTGATTTTAGGTCATACAACATCAAATCAATAGAAATGCCGAATCTCAAATTCATTTGAAGAATTTTCTTTCGATAAGATGTCTTGATTTTCAATTGTCCTGTATAAGCACATACACGCAAACTGGCAAAACTAATTATAAGTCGCGTGACTTAAGTCTCGTCATCATGATCGATAGGTGATAGCGCTCTCAGTGCATAAAATATCTCCTTGTTACAACAAAATTTTATGTATAAATGAAGATTACCGATTTATAGCCACTGGTAAGCTAAATAAAGGTGTGCCATATTTTGACTGCTACTCACATGTACTAATTAAATTTTAAAAGCAAGGTTGAATCATTCAACTCTAGAAGAATCGGTTTTTACCTTACAAAGTTGTGTTACGAGGTACGCAGCCCCTGCCTTCACACATCTCCAAAATGCACTGTACTCTGACCTACAATAAGAAACAGTACAAGATAAAAACTGATCGTTCCAACAATCTCAAGAAACAAGATAACTCAGTGTGAGTTAAAAATTTTCGAATCGTTGAACACGCCAAATCATACACAAAACTCCACCAACTTACAGTCCAGAACACTTGTAGACAATAAAATAAGGAAAGTACGCTAAAGCCACACAATTTCCGAAATGAAATAAAGTCATTCTATCGAGAAAATAAAGGGAATCTCAAAAGTTCTTTCCCACAGTGAATTGTAAAATGGCTGCGAATAAAACTTGGTAGCCTTGCAAAGTAGCTTTGTAGCCTCGCACAAGTGGCTTTGTAACCTAGCAGCCACTGAAAGGCGCAAGTTTCAAAATTTAACAGATTCGCAGGCGTCTTTTCGAAATTTGTATCAGTTATTGTTTATCATTTTGGTTTCAGCTTCTCTTATTTTCTTGAAAAATAGAGAAGATGCCGCGTAGAAAAAAGGCGAGAAAGAATCAAACTAGTCGTATGCGGCCGGTGCTTCCAGAGGGCGATCTCGACTCTTCAATGAGCATCGATGAACGCAAAGCAAAGTTGGATATTTATTTGAAAGATTTAAACATGCAAGGTACAGATATTGTAAAGCTAACTGTTTTATTTTTTGACGAACATGTTGTAAACTTACTTATAATTCAGCTTAAAACTATATTTTAATAATGTACATTACGGGAAACATTCTTTAAGGTACTTTGGACCATATATAAATGTTATAAACTGAACGGCAAAATCACGGACAAACGTACCTCACAATCCTTTAAGTCCAAAATACAGCGGTTTAATCTTGTAGATCCTATAACTGAAAATTGTGGCTGCTGTCTTATTTGTAGTTCTTGAGAATTTTAAGAAACATATTTAGCATTTTTATGTATATTTTGGTGGGGGATAGCTCCGTTACTTTTAACTTTTAAATTTTAACTTTTTATAAATTTTAGATTTTAGTGAATTATGAATTTATCTGGTGATACCATGTATTAACTCATTTTATCATTTTTTTCCCTATTATTTTAAATTCCCCAATTAGCTTTTTAAGTAAAAGCTTTTTAAGTAAAAGACATGGACACTTCAATTAAGTTGTTATGTTATTTCAACTGAAACTTTTATAGAATCGAAGTGATCGCATTAATGACTATTAAACCGGCAATGTTATGGTGCCGGTGTGGCTTTCTAAAGTGAACGATACGTTTTCTGAATCTAAGTTAAATTTTTGCCCAGTTTATATGTAAGAATCATAGCTGAAATAAGCTCCAGATTTCATTTTATATGTCTTGAAAATATAATTTTTTACTCAAACTTGCCACCATATATATGTCACTAAATCATAACTCTTTGGAATGTGTTCTGCCAATAAATGACTTGGACCTGATTGCAGTTTGTTGTAATATTTCCCATGCTTGTTCACATGTAGTTCAAGAGAGAGTGGAAAAGATGAAAGCCAGGGGTTATGACATGATCTGTAAAGTGAAAGGAGCTTTTTCTTTGGAGATCTTGAAACTTCCAATGGTAGGTTCCTAACTAGCTGAGGTGCATGTATGTTTGAGGAGTCAAGAGGACCAGTAATTTTGAAAACAAAAAACAAGAAAAATTTACTTAAGAATACTGTATGTTTAAGAATTTCATCTTTGGTTCAAATTGATTGAATTACAGGATAGTTACCGGTAATTGCCCTCATTAGACAATAATGTGTATTATTATGAGTAATGATGTGTGACATGTTGCTTAAATGAAATTCTCAGATTTTTTTTCAAATACACTTGGAGGCTTATCTTCCTTTACTTTAACTTGTGGTTGTTTCAATAATCAACTCCAAGCTTTACTTGCTTCCCATTGCAAAATTTGCATTACAAAATATCATTTAAAGACCAGTACTTTGAAACTTTTAACAAATGTGGATGTAGTTGTTGTCATTAACAATGTGACAGACTAATTGACTTGTTGAATTGCATTTATAATACTATCAACTTTTGATCTTGTTTATACAGAACATAAGAAAGATGAAGCTAAGTGATTATCGAGGTATGTGGCTGGAAATTGTAGAGCTCTATTCATGGAACATTGTTAAAAATGGGTTGCTGTCAGCTGGCAGTAATAGTTTGTCTTAAGTACTTCATTGAGAAGAAGTTAGTTGCCTTTGCATTGGCTGTGTGATCTTGCAATCAAACTTGAGGAGAAAGCTTGTTGCAAGATTAAGACCAAACAGTGGCTGCTTTAGGAAAGATTTTGTATATTATGAAGTGCGTACCTCTTACTAAGGGTCTAGATGAATGTGTATGTACTATAGATGTCCATTGAGATCAGTACAGTATTCATTCCAGGAAACTCATTATAAAGGATTGAATGACATCACATGACAAATCAATTAAAACTTTTGCATTATAACTATCTGCAATTGTCACTTGGAGTATCCATTTTTTTTCCTGGATGGGCTGCAAAAGCCCAATGCAAGTTAGATCCACCTTCATTGATACCTTGCAGACACAATCTGTTAGCAGGTTCTCATCATTACTGATTTGGAACACTTTTCTCTGCCAGTGGGAACATTTGAGATGAGTCAGGAAGAGGTAATTTGGTATTATCAACTGCGCTGATAATGTAAATTAGTCACCATTAAGAGTTTAAAAACTGACATTTTGGGCATTAGCCCTTTGTCAGAGCAAGTGGCAAAGGGCTAATGCTCAAAACATCAGCTTTCAAACTCTTAACAATGGCCAATTTATATTAACAACTCTGTTGATAGCACCAAATTACCTTGTTATACTCTCCTTCCGACCTAGCACCACAGTTTCTTTTGAAACTACCCTCTTTATTCATGAGTCAGGGAGAGGTTTTGCAGAGGGTGTGGAACTCACTATCAGTGCTAGACTCTTTACAGACTTCTTGCTGGCTAGGGATGCTCAAGGCCTAATATTTTACTTGGGGGGGGGGGAGAGACGCTCATGCAAAACTCCAATAATGAGAGCCTGCTCACAAGCTACGGGTAAATGGTAATTGAGAGTAAACCACTGTGCCCTGACAACTAGCCAGCTATGATGCTCCCAATTATTAGTACCAGTCCACTTTATTCTGTTATGTTTACACACTTGTCTTCAATCTCTTTTTAGCTCAAGGTGGTGAGGTGAATGAAACTGCTCTAAATGAGGTAATGTTAATACTAACAATAATTCATCAATGAATAAGGAGCTATCTTAAGCTTCTTTTGAATAACACTCAAGCATCTTGAATAATCAGGTCATAGGAAGAACAGACTCTAACCATTTTGTATTTTTGTCAAAAACATGTGTAAGAATGTATGCACTATGTTTATGAAATATGTAATAACTGAAAATGGAAAGAGACGCTTTCACTCAACATTTATAATTCAACATCTCTTATTATTGCTTGATTTTACAGGCTTCTAAACTTGTAACTGAAATGACAAGATCAGTTCTACAACCTACAACAAAAGCTACTACAAGGTATAAAGTAGACATGCTCACAACTCCATGCAAGTGTCCACCAGACCTTCTCTTTTTGCTCTTAGTCAATTCAAGTTACTCAACAGTTCTTAAACAGATATTTGTGATCACCAGATTAGTCTAATGATACATAATTTTAGCATTATTTGTCCACAGAGATCCATTCACTGAACTTGGAAACCTGCCATTGAAAACTCCATCAGGTACATGTTTGATGAACACTTTGTCATTCCATAATGTTTCCTTGTGCTTGTAAAGATAAACTCTAAATTTCATCACAATAGATTAGACATAGTAACATTTAGTTTAGACTGGTAGCAAAAATTTAACTTGGAGAAAAATTTGAAGAACAACATACACACAAAAGGTGTCCTAATCAGAGGCTTGATCAAGGCATCTATCTTAACCTACAAGCTCACACTGTTACAATGTGATGTATATGATTTATATGAGTGTGTTTTATTCCGCTCTCATATAAACTTCTTTCAACATCAGCTTTGCTTTGTAATCCTCTTCTTGTAGGAATCAAAGTCAAAAGTGAGGATCTGACAGGAAATGTGAAACTAAATGTGAGTGGAAATTTTTATTCTGCATGAAACAAAGCTTTTTAATTGAACTAGCTCTCACCCAACTTGCCATTTCTGCCTCAATGTCTAAGGGGTGACCTAACCCAAGAAAGCAGATAAGAAATTTGTAATGTAAACATTCCATTTTCCTTGAGTTTATGGAATCAACAGAGCTTTGCTATTTACTATAGTTTTGTTATAAACTATTTCAGCATTAAATTTGCAGTGGTTTTAGCAGTATTATTGTTATCAAAGAACTTTTTAAGATGACCTTTGTAAGTAATAAAAACTAGGTGTACATTTTGCCTCTTTGTAGAATCAATTCTTTAAAGAAAACTTCTTAAGGGTTAGGGTTAGGGTTAGGGATCTGATTACAATGATGTTTTGTAGCTTTCAAATATTTCACTTTGTTTTCAGGAACCTGGGTTCTTGGAACCAACCACAGCTCCAAGATCACTGCGTCCAAGAAAGGTGAAAATGAGTATGCAGTCACTAATTTATGAGGAAACCCCCAATGTCACTCCTAGCTAATACATGTATTTCAGAAGTCAAAAGAGGCTAATTTTAGTACTTATCTTATTATTGTGAGAGCTTTGCCTGACAGCTTAACCAGCGTACCCCAAGATCTAGATATTGATTCTCTACACTGCTTGCCGTACATTTTTTCTTATTTTAGATGTAAGAATTTGGCAGTCAATCAAACAACAATTCCTCAACTGAGTTAATAATTTCTTGCACTACTTATTACCTTACTGCGTGAAAAAGTTGATGGTTTATGAGAAAGCACCTTGATATAAACACCAAATGTAAACTAACTAAGAGATATTAGGAGGTCTTTTGTCACTTTCCTTCGTAATGGATCCCATGAAGAAACAATACTTTGATGTCCTATGGTCATCATATCAGTATGCTTATTTTCCATGCTGTTCTCTATATATTTCTTGTGGTGCTGACTAGGAGAATTTGCTTATAACAAGCAAGAGCACCTTTAGTTGGTGTTAATTTCCTTAATGTGTGTCTTAGGGGTGATGTTGTGAAGAGAATTTAGAAGCTAGCCATTCTTAGGGATCCCCTAAGAGAGTTTATCATAATATGACAACAAGCCTTTAGTTACATTCTAAGGCATTTAAAAAGTTGAAAGAGATTGCAACATGTTATATGAACAATGAATTGGAATACACACATGTACAATATGAATACTTTATTTTGAATACATCCAAAAGTAAAATGACAGTCTGATGCATCATTCCTCAATAGAGAAAAGACATGTCTCCCAGCACAGTGGATAAGAACACAAGATCAGCCAAGACTCGCAAAACAAAAGATAGCATTACAGTTGCACCACCTTCTACTGGGAAACGCACAAGGTAAGTATGCCCAACAATTTTTTTTCAATGTTTGTGGACAGTTCTGCCCTAATATGCAAACTCAACAAACAATGATTGATCAAGTGCAAACAATTCCAGAATGCTTCGGTAGATTTGTTGGTGACTCAATGTATTAAAATAGTTATTGACTGAGTTTGGTTGGACTGGTAAGGTAAATATTTGGCTATCCTTCATGATGCACAGACCTTGCTTGCCCTTGGTCTGTGTTTCATGACCTGGAGCCATATATTTTCCCTTTCACTCAGTCAATATATTGATAAATAGTATTATTTTGTAATTTCATGGTATGGTTCTGTATTATTAGCAAAAGGATACAACCCAAAGCTCACTTTGCAACACCAGCAGTGAGGGGAATTCCTTACAGCAACACACCAATGGTGACACCAAAGTTTGACCCACGGTTAGTTTATACATAAAATTTTTACTCAACATACTTGAATGGTACATTGTATTCTAAGTCTTTTTTGATGCTCTATTAAGCAGTGAAGGTTTTCCAGCATTCATGTGGCACTTAACCCTTCAACCTGTAAGAGTGACTAGCATCTAATTTCTCCTACAACATCAACCCTGATTCAAACATGAAGGTCATGAGACAGGGGTTTCAAAATTGATTTGAAGCAGGAATCAGACTCTGCTAAAGTAGAAGACTGTGAAAAGTGCATTAACCCTTAACTCCAGATCAAATTTGTCATTTCTCCTTACTGTCAACCATACAATTCTCATAATGTTAGTTCTGAGAATTTAGTATTGGATCAACTAATTATCTCTAAATTGATATTTTTCTTTATTCTCATCACTTATCTGGTTGATGTTGTGTTGGTATTGTAAGGAGAAATTCTGTCTCGGTCACTCATGGGAGTTAAAGGGTTAAGGTAATTATTTTGACCCGAGGAACAAGTGACATGTTAGGGTAGCAGGCAGAACTCTAGCAGTTGCTGGCTTGTTTTGAAACCTCTGTGAGATTAAAGGAATAATCACCAGCTAAAGAAGCTCATGATTTTTAAACAAATTATCCTTGTTAAACCTTGGGAAATGCATGGAGAACAGAATATTGAATATGTACTGATGTTAAGGTATAGAGGGTTAAATCAATGAAGCCATTGTGATCCTTTTGTTCCATATGTTTAAAGGTTACCAGTGACTCCTGCCTTGCTGCGAGAACCAAAAGTTGGTGAAAGGTAGGTACTGTAGAGCCAATAATGTGAAATTACCTGAACAAACACGTTACATGTTTATGTAAATAGAACTTATTATTTATGCCACTAAAAACGAAGAAAAAGGCGCCTTTAGACGAATTATTTTTTCTTTTACCTCTGTCAGTTATTTCTATTGCTCTTTAGCCAAAAAAAATTGACAAAAAACATGGTGTCAAACATTCAGTGGTATAATCATGAATTAAGGGACAATTGTAGTGTTACAGAACTGTATGTACGGATATTGTTCTTAGTACTTTGTATTGAGCATTGATCAAAATTCTTTTTTTCAGTATCATGTCTCTGAATGGATCGCCCATTGTTAACAGCGCTCCAGCCCCAAACACACCGCAGCTTTCTATTTCCCTTGGTAACGGACGGGTAAGAGTTCTGCAGTAATGTCATTTCGGTTACTACATGTACCCTGGTCAGTTAAGTGAGACCATTCTTGATAAACACTCAATCCAAAGAGAGTGTATGAGCTCATTGGTCAGTTCCCTGTTAATTTTACTGATTACGACAATATTCATCAGTCAAATGTTGAGACTGTGTGGAAGTTGTCTCTGACTTGTTCCGGTCTATTAATGTACATGTATGGTTATCTCGCGAAAGTAAAGTATTTTTGAAGGTTATGCGTTTATCACTTTGAAGTTTCAACATCTTCCTGGGTGATGACCCTCCCCGGTGCCAAAATATTGTTCAAATGCCCCACCCAAGCGCTGGATTTGAGAATCAGTATTTTGTAAAAGGCAAGGTCAGATTTTCATGTTGACCTTTTCTCCTCTCGTAACTGTCACTGTCATTTCAAACATCTTTCCTAGAGGATTCAACTTAATCCCACCTCTCACCTGAGCCCGTCGCAATCGACGATTCTGAACGACGCCGCAAGGAAGAATGTGGAATTACTGCAGGTGTGTGCATATACTTGTGTACAGGTACTATCTTTAGAGTCAAGTTAAATTCCTCAGCGAAAAGTGGTGTTAGTTTATAAAGAAATTGTGATGCTGCGTCGGTGGGAGAGTGTAACAGGGTAATGTGGTAGTATCAACTGAGTTGATAACGTAAATTAGCCACTGTAAAGAATTGCAAAGCTGATGATTCGTCAGAGAGAATAGAGGAATTGTGGGTTGTGTGTGTTTCTGTGCAGAAAATGGAGCTCCGCTGCATATAAAACACACACACACACACACACACAACCCACAATTCCTCCATTCACTCTGACAAAGGGCTAACGCTCGAAATTCAGCTTTGCAACTCTTTACGGTGACCAATTTACGTTATGAACTCAGAAGTGAAACTACTTTAGGCATTTTGACTTTCGTATAATATTTTCTTTTTTAGCTTAAGTTTCCCCGCGCTAGGGGGTTGGCATTAGTTGCATACGTTTCCGAGCTTCTTATTTACAGCACGTATCCCAGTTTTCCCCTCCTCTGGTACTTGGTACATGCCTTCCTGCTCGTCCCACTGTTTGTGTGTTTTCCTGGATTTTGTAAAGCTCTTTCGCATTCCCGCTCTTCCCAACGTTTGTATTTTCCGCCTAACCGCACTTCGCACTGATTGGTTGTTTTATGAAGCGTAGCCATGATTTTTTTCCCGCGCCTCGCACTCATTGGTTGTTGTGAAAGTACTTACAAACACGTTGCAATATTTATTTTTCTTGCAGCAAAAGCTTTCACAGCTCCTGGCCATGCCAACTCCAGCAGAGAAAAAGTGATTCTTAATTTCCTTTTCTGTCAGTACATTTTATTTTGCTGATGACAAGAAACCTAAGTTAACACTGTACTAAGACTAGGACTTATGAAAAAATGTTGAAAGCGTGTTATTTGATTGTTTAGAGCAATTTTTTAATTGAATGTCGAAAGTAATGTGGCCGCTTTTTGATTGGTCCAGAAAACTTGCGTCACCTTCGCGACCAATCATATGCAAAACTGAACCAATCACGATTTGGTTGCCCACGTTTTCCCGCGCTGTAGGCAGTTTGGTCGGTTTTACTTTGAGTTCTCATTGGCTCTTAAAGATACTTTCCTCTATTCTGATTGGCCTTTGTGATTACCTTAGTTTTTGTTTTCTGACACTTGATTGAAAAGTGCTCTATGTATGTTTGTGTTTACTTGTTTTATTCACTTACTATGCTCTGAGAATTTTTCGCTTCAGTGTCTTTCAACATAGAACTATTCAGATGTGAGATTGCAAAACAACCTTGGTGTTTATCAATTTGGAATTGCAAAATTGACTTAAAATATTAGATAAGTGTTGGTTAGATTACTGAATTTTTCTCTCCAGCGGGCTGGTTATTGAGCATTAAATAACTGTAACATTTTCGTCTTTCCTTCCCTGTTTCAATAATACTGCCTCGTTACATTTCCAACACGACGGCTAAAACTGAAGTAACAAAATTATGACTGCTAGAGAAATTTGTATCATTCAGTAAACCCAAGTTGGGTGTATTTTTTATCATATCGCAACGTTCGATTTAGTCACTTGGTTTTTCATACGTTTTTCAAAAAATACTGCGTGCGGAGATGTTTGAATAGCAGGGGTGTTGATAGAGAGAAAAATTTCATTGTCATGTATTCGATGATTGTAATTTTTTGGAGTGTAATTTCTGGTAACATACTTCCTATTTGGACCGTGTTCTCTTACTATGAGCATTATTTTAAAACCCAATCTAGAAACTTTAGACGCCTTGCATTGTCTTATCTTTGCTTAGGGCGTCGATTAATTCGAAGCCTCAAACTTGCCCTCTCCTTCAATCCCCCTGGCATTTGATCTTTTGAAGATTGTTTTGTTCAAATTCCCTCCACCTAGGGCAAAAATTGTATTCAAATGCCCCACCCAATTTTTTTTTTCGCAAAATGCAGAATCAGCGACGTGGCTTGCTACATATTGACCAAGCTTCAAAACTTAGACCTTGTAGACCTTTTTTTCTGAGCCATTCGCCTGCGAAAGTGGACTATTTACCTGGAGCACCTCCATATTTAAGAATATAAAACTTGTATTCCGCAGAAAGACTTGTCACTACCGGTTCAAATTTCCTCACACCGGTTCAAATATCCTCACACCAGCCAGGCTAGGGTAAAATTCCCTACCACTGGGCACGGAAGATGGTCAATGTCAGTGGGTTGCCTGGGGGATGTTGAAGCTTCAAATTGATCGGCGCACAAGTCGCTCCAATCATCTCAACTTTAGAGAAAGCTTTATTGGGAAAAGAAAACTAAAGCAAATATTCCTGTGTTTGAACCTCGAAGATAATCTTGTAAATAATTATAATTAGCACAAGAAACAATGGGATAAACTATTCAAAACAACGAATTATCTGAACGAGACCAATATTGATAAAATGACTCAAAATTAAATTTTGTTTTCTGTTTTGAATAAACCTTTCAAAGTACTTCACATGGAATGGACAAGAGCAATATGAAGAATTCCCAGAGCGTTCCATTCCCTGAAAGTCTGCATTTCTTTTTATATCATTAGGAAACTTAAAATAACCAGTCGTATGCCTCGAATTTGTCTCAAGCAGACAACACACTTAGCATCTATTAGTCTTTCTCAGCGACCGATCGAAAACTAATCTTAAACTCCAAGGTACTCGCAGTGTAATATCAAGCCAAGGAGCGATAAGCACACCCACTTGGTTATTTCCATTTGATTTCATTCAATCAAAATGTGATATTTTCTTGCACGTTAGGTTTCGATAAGGTTAACCATTTCCTTTCGTTTGGTTCCGTGCACAAACTTATAGCGGAGCTCGCATCGCGCAGCGAAGTCCCATACTTATAAAAAGTAGTAGTGACCCATATTTGAGCTAAGGGAAAGTAAAATTATTCTGAGGAAACCGACTGTCGAGTTAGCTGACAGCTTATAACTGAAAAAATGGGGTCAAACACTAGGGAAATTGGATCTTGTTCGTGTTAGCCGGAGGTAAGAATTAACTGAGTTCGGGTTCGCGGGGTTCTTCTGTACCGCACTATGAGCAAAAAAATGTAAAACTTTGACTTGTTTGTGGGTGCACACTTGATATAAAATAAGTGCAACTCCTGTTTTCTTGTGTACTTGTGTATATTTTAACGGATAACCTTAAGTATTATGTTCATTGCATGAATTACAGAACCGTTATGTTACGAGTCAAAGTGTTGTCATACCAATTTTTTGCCAGAATAAAATGTTCGCAGTGCGCAATCTAGAGATGACCTACCAAATGAGTTTATTGTTCATGCCTTGTGTGACCCATGTTTCCTTACGACCCAATTTCGACATACTTAGGAAAGAAATACGACTGAGAGTACCTTGACTAGTTTTTTTCAAATATTTTTTTCAAATAAGTAGTGGTTGAGCAACAGTAGAGAACGCAATCATGGGCAAGCAATTGGCCTAATAGTCAAATCAGAGATCGCTGAAACTGGCGATGTAACAAGAGTGTAACTGACAGGCAATCAGCGTGACCCTGCACTCGCTTTGTAAGCAACAGAAAAGGAACACTCTACTGAGCCGAATCAAGCGTGTTTCTATGGGCCCGTTTATACGGTACCCGGTCACTTCCCTGATATGTCAACTCGCCGATAGTTGACTTTAGTCAACTCACCCATAAACCGGTCACTTCGAAAACGTAGTCTTTCATTTTGCCGACATCGTATGGCACTTCGCCGACAAACTTGGGCGACCCTTTTTAAAGATCTCAATCCGAGATTTATATTAAGTCAATAACTATTCAGAGGTGCGGCTAAGAATTGTATAGCTGTTTTAATAGGGTAAACCTTTTATTAGTAATTTACAGAATACAACTGAAACGGTATGGCGACCGGCGATGGGAATGTTTCCGTTCCAACTTTTCCTTTCTGACCTTTTCATGTTTGTCCGGCATGGCAAAACTGTTGCATCATGACGGAACACAAGCTTAAAATTTGCAAATATTCATCAGCTCCATCACAAAGACATTTGTCGACGATCTAAAAAAAAAGTAAAGACTGTAACGTGTGTTGTTACAGGGAATATAAATATTACCGTAAAAACCTTTATCTATGAGGAATCGAAGGAGCCACGACGACGACGGCAAAGCGACTGTGATGTTTTTTGGAACTACACAAGAACCCAAAATTCACCTTCTCTCTAGCCTGCTAACAGGCATGAGCGCTGCAGGACGCGTGTTTTCCCCCACAGGGAAGATTGGAGACAAGTCGAGGAGAGGATTGCAAACCTCTCTCCCTCATGCGTTGCTCAAGGTCTAGGTGACTTTCCAGTTGGCAAAGAATTGCGAAAGTTAGTTACAGAGTTAAGCAAGTCTAAGTCATACAATAAATTTAGGCGATAACAAAATTTCAAGCATGGAACTGAAACTAGTCGAAGAATAATGAAGTTTTAAGAAAATCTTAAAGTACTTACAGCTATTTTTTCCATAATGGCAGATTTTTGATGGTCGTTTAAGTCAGCCATTTCAATAATTCTGTCATGAACCTGGTTGGTTGGAAACAAACCCTTCTGTTAATTCTTTTGACTTTGGAAGACATTTGCTAGGTACAAGAGGGTAATAAACCCTTTAACTCCCAAGATCTGATTGTTAATTCTCCCATTGAACTACTACACATTTCCTTGTAAATTAGTTACAAGAATTTGTTGTTAGATCAAGATAGCAACTTCTACCTTATAAGTTTGGGCATTTTCATTACTTGTTTGCTGGATAATGTATGGATATTAGTGAGAGATGTTACATAATAATCATTCTGAGAGGTTAAGGGTCAAAAATCAAAGTAAAAGATTGATGTAAAAGGTGAGTGTTTAAAATAGAAAAAATAAAAAAACAAAAAAAAAACATATGGCTTAACCAGTTCACTCCTAAGAGTGAACTAATATTCAGTGTTCTCCTCTATTTTAAGCATGACAGGTAAAATAAATTTTCAAACCAATAAAGCAATCTTTTTACCTGTTGAATTTTCAAGAATTCCAACAATTTTAAACAGTAATAAGAGGTACTTAAGGCAGTAAATGTTACCGGTTACTGCCTGAAATGGAGAACACTGAATATTTCTTCCAACAGTGTCACCCCTGAATCAAACATAACAGTCACAAGAATGAAGGAAATAATTGCAATCTCAAGCAGCTTTGGATCATCAGACAAATTATCCTTTAAAGAACCATAAGAAGCATATAGAGAACAGTATGGAGAACTTGCATACTCGTTAAGGTACTTTTTAGATACTTCTTAGACTTTAAGATGTAAATTGTCAGTTTATATGGTCCAACTGATTTATATGTAGCAGCAGCCTTGAAACTGAATCTGGCTGGAATATGAATCCTCACAGGGGATGCAGATGTTAAAAAGTTGTTGCAGGAAACAACAGATTTATTATAGCTCATAGGGTCTCATCATACCTGGTTGATGACCTGAGCAGCTGCATGACCCTCAGCTATTATTTCCTGGCAAGTGTTACATGTTGTTAAAAAAAAAAAAGTAGATTCATGTAATGTCCTTATGTAACAACCACTATTACTTAACTGAGTAATTTTTGGTAAGTCATGGGCAAAAGATTAGGTTGATTGGTCAAAAAGCTGGAACCTCTGTCACTACACAACTAAGATATTTTTTTCGGTTCACATTCAACCATGTCTATAATTACATGTACTGAAATTGAAAAGTATGTTCCACAACTCTTTCAAATTAATGAAACAATGTGTTGCAACCTTTGCTGGATTTAGGGAATTGATAAAAAAACTTTGAAAGAACTCAGTTGGCACTTACACCCCGGTACACGCATTTACGGACTTTGTTTAATTTTCAATTTCATGTTTCATGTTCAAATTCAGGTGCATGCCCATTGTTTAATTCAAATCATTTAAATTTGATGATGTAATATGTTTTGTTGCATGTGACAAAACATTGGATTTGGAATTTTTAAGTTGAACTTGACTTGTACCATTCCTTCAGCATTTGATTAAAGGGGTTTTCTAATCAATTTTATGGATTTTGAGGGCTGTTGTTAAAACAATGTGTTATCAAAGGTAATCCAATATTGTAACATTTGTGTGTCATAACATATCACAAACTTACAACAATGTAGCTAACAAGGGGAGGGTGGGTTACAGACCCCCATAGCTATGCCCTTGTTTGAGACTAGCATTGATCAACTGTGTTCTTTTCTTAATCAAAATAAAGCCTTGGCTCAATCAAGAGTCTTTAAATTAGGAGCACAGAAAAGTAACCAAGGATTAAGTCACCACATCTTTCAGAAATACAAAGATGATCAACAAAATTAGTCCCTTACCTGAACTGTAGCGTCAAGTTTTTCAAATGAGTCTGATCCACAAGCCTCAAAAAGTTTGTCTGCCATTTTACTTGGAACAACCTGAAGGAAAGTCACCAAATGGTACGTGTTGATTATTTTCTTGATACCAATAAGTCACTGTATATTTTTTTTGTTTCATGTTACATTAAAAACATGTAACTTTGCAAGCCCTTTGATTTCATAAATGTAATACTGTAGTTGCAGTTGGGAAATGATGGATCTCACCCCAGCTATTTCACTGATATCATCAGCTTCTACCACGTCTTCACCCTTCAGTCTTTGAGCACTTTGTAGGTATGTTATAGCCTTAAAAACAAGTCAAGCAATAAATGTTATAAAAAAGGGTTTGTTTCATCAATGCAAGGGTGGGCGCAAGTGGATAGAAGGATTGATATGGAGCATAAGCAATCAGAGCTGAAATGTGGAGATAAAATAATCTGATGGCCACATTTTTTCTCTATCCATTCAAGGCACCTGCAGTGACCTATGTCAAAATCTCCACCTAAAGAAAACATGTGGTAATTGAATGAACGTGGCAGAAATGGTGGACAGAGAAAATCTGATTACTAAAATATGACTCTCAGTTTGTTTATAATGCCCTGTTATACAATTCCATAAGTCCCTAACACATCTTAAAAACAGTTATTTGTTTGCTAATTCCTGTTAAGTAAATAAAAATACTACATGGAATGCTTTAACAGTCCATCAAAAGGCATACTGTTTTCTTTACAGATCATTTAACACTTCCTTTCTCACCTTCCTCATGTCACCTTCTGATATCTTTATCAATTCTTGTATCGCCTGTTGAGACAAAAAGTTTATAACTGCAGTGGTACCTTCATACAGGGAATACCCTCAAAGCTAAGAAAACTTTAACCCTTTCACTCCCAAGATCTGATTAGTAATTCTCCTTACTGTCTGCCATCCAATTCTTATATTAGTTTGGAGAATTTGGTACTGTATCAACTAATAATCCCCTAAATGATATCTTTCTTTATTCTTATCACTTGTCTACTTGATATTGCATTACAACTGTAAAGAGAAATTTTCTCTTTGTAAGTCATGGAAGTTAAAGGATTAAATTAGAATCTCCACTAAAGAAGAAGTGCTTCCAGTAAAGGTAACATATGCAAATTGTTGGTCATTCAGGACCACCATTTATGTGTCCATTGGATGGAAGTCTTTGAGAAAAGAGGCTAAAATCACAATTTGTTGGGTAAACATTCCCCTAATTGGAAATATTCCATTCTTTAAAGCAAGCAAATATAAAATTTTACCATTAATTGTTAGAATAATAAACTTGATGACCTGCAGAGGAATAAAGGGGGTAAATTTCTAAAGAAACTGTGATGCTGTGTCAGTGGGAAAGTATAACAGGTAATTTAGTGTTGACAACTGAGTTGAAACATTAACTGGCCACCTTAAAGAATAAAAAAGCTGAAGAAGGGCTAATGCTTGAAACATCAGCTTTTTTACTCTTTACGGTGGCCAATTTACATTTCAACTCAGTTGTTAACACTAAATTACCTGCAGAGGAATAGTTTGGAAGAGCAGTCTGTCAAAGTACCGCACAATCATAAGTTTAAATACTTCTTCTAAAAGATCTTGAAGTTGAGGTCATTCAAAATTCACTCACTAGTTTTACCTTTTTATCACATTTCACATTTTCCTTTTCACAAATCATGTTGAGTCTCTTCTCTAAAGTATCTGTAGATAATGGCTTAAAACGAAATTTGGAACAACGGGAAGTCAGGGGCTCAATAATTCTGCAAGATAAAATGTAAATCATAAAATGAATTTCTTTTTTGTGGCTGTCTTACTATACACTTAAAATGCAAGCTTGAATAGGATGTGTTTCATTCTGATACACACAGTTCATGTCACAATAACTTCAAATTCATTAAAATAGAGCTTGCCAAAAGGTGTTTCTTTTTTTCAACATAACAGAAACAAAAGCATAGAAAATACAACCCATAATAAAAACACAAACGACAGGGGATTAGTGGCCAAAGTCACAGGTCCAGTTTTCTGAGGGGTTCAAATAAGAGGCCATAGTGAGAACCAGCCTAGGCAGGATCTGTCAGTGTAAGCATTTTCACAAGAAAGGTTTCACATAAGGTCATTTTCATTAAACTTTAAAAAACAATAACTCAGTTATTACATGATTGTTAGTTACAGTTCTTTTCAATGTCATTACCTGCTCACATAGTTACAAATAAGACAAAATCTTGTGGTTTTTGTCTCCTTCTCCATGGTTCTTCTCAAGGCTGCCTGTTTATTTAAAAAAAAAAATAAAAAATACCGTTTTCAAAGTGTGCAGTTTCACAGCCAGTTGATGCTAACATATAAGGAAGAGTAAAGAAGTTCAAACCTGAGCACTTGGTGTCATGGAATCTGCTTCATCCAAAATAACCAGCTTGAAGGGTGGGCATGGGGTACCACTGTAAGAAAAATTTATGACTGGTGATATGATATGCATATGCCATGAAATAAAAATAGTGCAAAATTTTTTCTCTCAAAGACAAGTTATAAACTGAGACATTTTTCTGTCGCCATTGGCATTGACTAATGTTGTCTCTAGGCTAAACATTCCTTTGCATTCTGGAGATATGATTGAGGCAAAAAGGGCAGTTATGCATTGAAAAACAAAGAATCAAAATTATGTTATTTTAGAATAAGGTATAGGATCTATCTATGAATAGCATGGATGGACTGTAGACAAAAGACTTACTCAGTTCGAATACCAGAGGCTGCCAGTTGAGCAAACTTCTTAACTTTATCTCTCACTACCTGCAAATAAAACATTATATGAAAACTTTGCAACATTGCAGCCACACTTTCTTAAAAAAAAGGTTTTAAAATTTATCATTCTAAGAATTCACATTTAAGACTAATTTTAACAACTCCCTTTTTTCTTGTTATTGTTCAGGCATGTCATCAAGCTGTTTCATTGGATAGCTTGTACAACAAACTAGAAACATTAAGCATGCTAAGGCATCTCTTCAGACTAGCTACCAATGTGAGCAAGCTTGAAACTGTGAACAGCTTTGTTCCAAAAAAAAACCTCAAAATTTTTGTGCCTTTTCTTTGCCTACACTTCCTGTATTATTGTTTGGTCAAGATGGCTGGGCCAATTGCCTTGGTCAAATAATGGGAAAAAAAAAACTTGGCCCCAGCAATTTTGTCCTTACATTTGATCAATAACACACATTTATACACCTGATAGAGACTAACAGAAACTCTACAGAAGAACACTGAAGTTTAACAGACCTGTATTCCACGTTCATCTGATGCATTTAATTCAAGCACCCGTGATCTCATAAGCTCAGGTCTAAAATTGCAATGAAATAATGGTCAATAATTGTTTTGACCATACTGGCCCCTTAATCACCATAGCTTACACCTGTTTGAATAACATGAACGAAGTAGAAGTGTAACTGTTCCTTCTCTTCCTAGGTGGTGTGTTAGTCCATTAAAAAATACTCTCACTCCCTCCTAGCAGTTTGCTGAGTTTTCCTAATAGTTTCCAGGTACCCATTTATACCCCTGGTCCTGGTTGTTTGAAGGGTGGATGATGCTATCCACTGGATGAATCTCCATGCAGTACCTAGCGCAGTACCTTTATCCTCTCAATAGCAATTTTTGCATTGAATAGCATTGTCTACCCTCAGAACAACTGGGTCCTGGTCAAGAGGGGTACTCTAAGAGTCAAGTGTAATGCCCAAGGTTAATGGTTGGACCTTATCCCTGTTTCTGTAGCATAAAGCTACTAAAAGTATTGCTACTCCCCTCCAGATGGAAAGCTTGTCTATTGCAGGTTGCCCCCCGGCATTTCATCCGCTTTCCCAGACAGTTTGCTTGAACCTATCTATACTCTGTGATGAGAGTAACATGCTTTGCCCAAGAATGCAACACAATGAACCGCAAAAAAAAGTTAATGCCTGACAAATGACCAGCCTAAGTCATTTGTCAGGCAATCACTAGCCTAGGATCTTTTGGGGAAAACAATGAAAAATATGTTAAAAGAAGAAAAAATAGATCAGCCCATAGTTAAGTCTTACTGGCACAATTGAACTGATTAAGACTTGACTAGAATATGGGCATTAAAAATTCCTGCAAAGACCTTTAAAATGACCTTATTTCTGAGGATAAACCTACCCAAACAGCTGTCTTGCAATAGCAAGTATTGTGGATGTTTTTCCTGTGCCAGGAGGGCCATAAAACAACAAGTTTGGGAGATCAGCTCCTTCTAGAGATTTTTTCAACACTGACACAACTTCATCTTGATAAGCAACTTCATCCACAGATCTTGGGCGACTAACAACAAGAGAATCACAAGACATGAACAGTTTTTCATAATTTTTTACCATCTATGTAGAAAAACAACAAAAAATATAAATCAAGTAATCAGATTGATTAGGAACAGAAGAAAAAAGGTATAACAGATGCCCTTTTGGGGGTTATGCCACAAGAAAAGAGCATGGTATATGAAATTCCAGCGTTGACTCGAAGTACTGATATAAATGATATCCTTCCTGTCTAGACTAATTAATTACAAAGTTATACTTTGGTAGAGAAGAGATTTTTGAACCATTAATTGATCCAGTTACCGGCTGAGAAAATTTAAAATGAACGTATGATAATAATTAAGTAATTAACACTGAGTAGAGCTACTGAAGAAAAAAGACGACATTAGTTTGATAGATGAACCTTCAGTGACGATAAATGTTTAGATCAGACAGCCTATTCTCCTTTCTGTGCCATAATCTCCTTGGGGTTAGCAATGAGAATCTCTTGTCTCATCAACGCAACATCAAGACGATACGCTGACATTTATTTAACCAAAATTTCCCTCTCTGTTCAGACACTCTCAGGAATTTTTCATCACAAAAAATAAAATAAAATTAAAGTTTTCGAAGTCTGAAAGAAATTGAAATGAAGAAGGACGACAAAGGAAAGCGAAGGCACTCACTATTTTTCAACCCAAGGAACAACAACCCTTTTGTTTGAAGATCCTGCTGTTTCTTCGCCTGTTTGTTGCTTAAGCTTCGAAGAACTAGCAGTAGAACTCTGTCCTCGTAAGAAAGCATCCATCTCTACTGATGATGCTCTTCTTGTATGAAAACAAACGCAGAAACAAATCGAGTTTCTTAGTCACTTGTTGCTCTATTCAACATGGCGAGATATTTCCCGCCAATTTCGCGGCAATAGACTGGGCACAGCTAATACCCAGTTTCCTTCTAAAATGTTAGTTACTTTGGTCACGCAATCGCGCTATTTTGCGTGACGGTGACGCGTAAAAATTGAAGGCCGTAAGCCTAAATTTGCATATGACCAGAATACCATTTGATGAATACTAAAACGACAAAGAAGTTTGTACAACTACAACTCTGATCGAATGAGCTGGCAAAATTTCGTCGATGAAAGTCTGTTAGGTACGAGCCAGGTAGCCAGAGCAGCTATACATGGTTTGGATGGGAAACGCTACGCTTCGAGCGCTGGATTTGTGGTCAGTGTTTGTTGAATTGTTTTTTATAAATTTGCTTCGTGGCTTTGTTTCTCAGGTAAACAATCGTATGCGCCTTAGTTTCACATGAAGCGTGACTTTAATGTTTGGTTTTTGATCTCTAGTCGTGAGCACGTTGGAAATGTTTTTTACTTATCGTGTACAAACTCTTGAATCACTTAAGTTGCATACCACCTGGCTTTCGCATCTCATCCGTCAGTTGATAATTGAATAGACTTAAAGCCTTTTAATTAATCTGTTTACGAGCAATGTTTTGGGCAAAGACGTTTTAAAAATTCCAGAGTAGTCTAACATTTGTGCTTCATAAGCTGTATATATCAGTCACAGGATGTTTTCATTTTGAACGTTTTTTGCTCTAAGGCGTTTGCATGTTCGAGACTTACTGTCTATATGAACTGACAAACAGAAGTTTTGTCCAATACACCTGGCGCAGAACTTCAATAAACCACCAGGGAATTAGTAGAGAGATGAGTGTGTGCGATAATTTTAATAATCGTTCCGTCTTCCTTTTTTTTTTTTTTTTTTTACAAGATAACAGTCACTTTACAGGATAGATCAAACGTCTCTGTTGTGATCATGATAGAAAATGGAAATCCAAGAGTGCAAATGGATTCTACTTATTGCTTAACCCTTTCAGTCCCAGTAAAATTATTGTGATTTTAGTTCAGAGAATTTGTTATCTGATCAATCATCCCCTACTTGATTTTTTTCTTTTCATTCTCACAACTTTTCTGCTTGATATTGTACCTATATTGTGAGGAGAAATTTAGTCTTGGTCAGTCATGGGAATTAAAAAGTTTTAAGGGGTTAAGCATTTTATAAGTTATGACTTTCCGATGAAACTAGTTAGAAGTACAACTAAATTTAGTATTGAACCACATGCTCTGGTCTACAGATGATTAAAAAATTTTCTGGCTGTTTCTATTTTGTTACACAGGTTTTACCAAGTGAGGCTCAAGCATTGATCTGTGGAATTACCAAAGATCCGTCTCCTTTCTTTTCCAAAGGAATCGCAGTGAATAGAACAAGGTATATTTTTGTGAGATCAGATCCTGGACATGCAATTTATTGTCGTAAAGGCAATGAGGGAGTTGTTGCAGTAAAGACTAACAAGTGCCTGTTGATTGGTGGATACACAGATGGAATGCAAGCAGGGTGTTGCAGTGCTGTGATGGAGAAACTAGCAAATTACTTCATTGCTATTGGATACTAAGATGTTAACCCTTAAACTCCCACGAGTGACCAAATTTCTCCTTACAATTATATCAATAAAACATCAGAGATAAATGATGAGAGTAGAGAAAATTGACAATGAGGGGTTGCTAGTTGATCTAATACAATATTCTGTGAACTACCATCATAAGAACTGTAAGGCATTCACTAAGGAGAATTACTGATAATACGTAGAGAGCGAAAGGGTAAAATCCATCATTGAGGTGATAACAAATATTGGCATTATGAAAAACAGAGAGCTTTAGCAAGTAATTCATATAAAGGTGTGCATGGAGCTGAAATACAAGCTTGTGCTGGAGATATGATCAAACTATTTTCAGGATTGAATAAAATAATCATATAAGAAAGTTAGGTAAATAATTGAAAAATAGTCTTCTACTGTAATTCAATTAAAGCAAAACAAACTTGCAGACATTCAGGGCTATAACAAGACTCCAAAGCTAATGGAGAAGTTGAGGAATAGGGAGGGAAAAAAACAACTTCCTCTTTTTGAAATGGGTCATCTTCAGTGGGTTACACACTCAGGTAGAAAGGACGTGCTAAATAAAAAAAGTTATTTTACAGGAATACTCAAAACTTGCTTTTCTGAGAAGGGATTGGTCTTTGAGCTACAAACAGACAAAATATTTTGGAATTGTAGCAATGAAGTGTGTGCTAAAAGATACATGTTTTGGATTTGATTTTTTTTTTAACCCTTTAAAATACAAGGAAAACAGCCTATTTGTTATAGGAGACAAGAAATTCTCTGTATTTCAGTGATGAGATGCTCAAATTAAATAGTGTATGGGTGCATTTAGGTATCCTTAAAAAGTTAAATTTTTATACCTAAGATGCAAGACGCAACTCCTTACACATAAATTCACATGAATCAAAAATGTTCAATAAAGGAAATAAATATATATTTTTTTTCTTAATGATCTTAGTGTTTTAGAATAAACAGAGGTTGAAATTGCCCTAGATCTATTGATACAAACCCAAGGAGTGATTTAACTACCACTGCACATCAGGTTAAATGTTCATGAGTGTTCTTCATGAGAGATCACTTTGTGCCCCCCAATTTTCTGCTCTTTAAAGAATCCATTTTAGTCTCTACTGAGACAAAGCTAAATATTTTTTCCCTACAAGCACTTTTTTTGTTTGCTATCACATGTCCTCACTCTTGCTTATTCATTTGGGAACAATTAGCTTTGATGTGCTGTTACCTATCATCAACACTTCAACACCCAAAAAAGCTAATTGAAACAACATTGTGACACATCTTTTGTCACTGTTTTCAAAATCCCTCATGTTCACTATTTCACAGAAGAGAGAGAGGGATGCATTTCAATACAATCAAATGCTTGAAACTGTTTAGAAAGGGTCTATTTTCACCAGTGTTTTGGGCATCTTAGTGTGGATGATAGGCCAATAACAGCAAAAAGTATTTGCTTTTGAACAAAAATGCGTTCACGTGGATTAAAACTTAACTGTAAACATTCTACTCAAGTCACTGTAAAGAGTTACAAAGCTGAAGGTTTCAAGCATTGTTTGAGAGAAGGGCTAATGGTCGACATGTCAGCTTTGTAACTCTTTACAGTGGCTAATTTACATTGTCAACTCAGTTGATAATACTAAATTACCCTGTTAAACTCTCCCACTGACACAGCACCACGGTTTTTTGAGAAACCTACCCCCTTTATTCTACTTTAAAGTGTCTAACTTTCTCGATCTTAAGACATGTATTTAACAGGTTTAATGACTGGGTCAATACTTATACTACTTGTAAAGTAGGAAAAAGAGAACTCCCTCCATAGTTAAGAGAAAACTTTTCCAAATGTTAGACTCATGAGTTGCCAAGCACTCTAAGGATTGCCTCCCTTTCTCTTAGGGCCTTCCATGCTGCCTCCTTCTCCTTTTTGGTTGGTGACTTTCTTTTCTGTTTATATGCCATCATTTTTCTGAACCATTCCATTACTTCAGCATCTGCAACCTGTGCTCTGTGCTTAAGCTCCTGTCTTCTCATTTCCTCTTGTGTTAATTTTGAAAGCTCTGATTTCTGTTGTCTGTTCTTTGCAATCAAGACACGCAGTTCATTCTGATGGCGTTTAAGCTCAGCCAAGACCTCATCATCCACCTCTTCATCTGCCTGATCTTCTGCATCTAGCAACCCTTGAAAAACTAGCTCTTCTCTAACGCGTGCCTCTAAAGTTCGGGTATGAGGTACATGGGGTGCCTTACTAGGCGTGCGAGGGGGGTTGTTACCACTTCTTGTCATTGCACTATCAGAACTTCCAGATCCTGAGTTTTGCTCAGGAATTGGTGCTATAATGTTTTCTTCAATCAAAGCTGATACTAATCTTTGTGTCAGAGAGCCAAATGGACACAAATCTTCCTCATGAAGTCCAGTGGTGTCTGCCTTTTTCAACAAAGATTTTTCACCAATTACTTTATTTGTGTTTTCACTGGTAGCGTTTGTTAAAGTACCACGCAATTTTTTATCATGTATCCTTGAACCTTCTTCTTGCTCTTCAAGCAGGTCCTCTTGAGCCCATTTCTCTCCATAGTGTCTTCCTAGGGGTGGGACTTTATAATATTCTTGTTCATCATCTGGAATTTTCAAGGATTCTTCAAGAAATTTCTGATCTTCAACTGTGATATCAGCACAATACGGTTCAACAGCAGCCCAGAAGCGGTTGGGAGTATCTGTCTTTGTTTTCACACTTGGGGGAAATGTTTCATCTTCCTGACTACCTTCAGAAGAAGCCGAATGTTTACTTTTTGGTCTCCCCACCAACTGGGCTCCTGGACTGGTACTTCTTGACTCTTCCAATTTCTGTTTCTTTGCTCCTTTTTCCTCTGTTGCGGGTCGACTTCTTTTCAAAGAGCCTAAGGAATTAAGAATCTCCAACTCGCGTTGTCGCACACTCTTTTTATCTTTTTTCTCAGCCCAATCAATCAATAATTTAGTTTCGGAGTCTATCTGCCTAATTCGCCGATTGGCACCGGCTAGAAGTGTTTCTAGGTCACTTTGAAGCAAGTGAAGGTCTTCCGGGTTTAATCCTTGATCCGACGAGCGTGTCAACAAAGACGTATAGAATGGGCACATGCTTTTGTGGTCGACCATTTTAAAATCACAGTACTGAAGAGGGCAGGGATCTGTGTCACCTTTCCCATCATCTAAAACGTTAGACATGGCTATATCTTACGGAAAACCATCAACAATTGTTGGAAACTTGCCTCAAGCAATAATAAATACAATGAAGCTATGCTTAGTAACCGCTCTATCGCTTCGTGCATTTAGATCGATGTATTCCTGGGAACCAATTTTTCCGTGTTGAACGCTTTTGGACACGTGAGAATCGGTTTCAAACCAAATGGACAAAACTTATTCTGGACTGAAGCCATTTTCTACATTTTTCGACTATCTCTTGAGCTAAATAAGCGCCTGGTATGCAGCTCTGATATTACCGATAAAAAAAAAACTTCTGAATCAAATTCTCCCCACTGCCACCCCCAGGGGATGAAGTCAATCGGTTAACCACCATCTCTCTTGTTGATGAAGCGGGGACGCCATGATGGATTCGCAGGGGCTAGCATCTTCCAAGGGGCTCCCAGACTTGAGTACAGGGGCTAATGATGATCCAGCACGGAATTCGAGTGGTACGAACTATATCGTCTTGTTGAAGGACCTTTTTGTTTAATATTTTTTAGCTTCAAGGGGTTTAAGTGTGCTTTTTCACAAAACTGCAACGTCATTGTCTAGCTGTCTCATCATGTAACGCTTGGAGTCATCTTTCGCCACAGAACAAGACATGATTTTAAGAAAACATTTATTAGAACGAATTCGATGATCAAAATCAACCATGTCTTCAGTAATAATAACATAGATTGCTAATTTGAATGAATTTCAGTTCATGAGACGCCATGTTGACGAACAGGGGTCAAATAGCTATTTATAGACAGTTTCTTTTAGAGAAAAATTATACGCACAGCATTTCATTTTATTTTGTCATGTAACAGAGACACAGAGTTGATCAAAATCACAATGATATCCTTATATTAACCTCCAAGATGTCCAAGGCAACATTTGCTTGATTGAGAGAAACCAATATAATTTTGAATTACACTATACAATCAAAACTCCGAGTTTCAACAGCCATTTGACGTGACGTTGCTTAAATTAAAAAAATTTGCCTGAGAAATTACACTGGCAAAAAATCTATCACATCCCGATCTACAATTTATCCAATGCCCCGTTCCCTGTCTTTAGACTAACATCCTACCCAAGCAAGTTAGGAAGATATCTGTAGTTGCTTCTTGTTGCAAGACTATGAGCACACCCCCCTCTTTTCAGTGAAGTCCATTGTACAAGTCCAAAACAAAAAAAATCGGAAAAAAATTGATGCCAGTGCCCTGAGGGAAGCTTTCACTCCCTGAGCTGCCTGCAGCATGCTTACATCAACTTCTTTTTCACCAATCTTTTTGTACTTGTGTGAGGGACTGTGTCGAAAGGAGAGACTACTCATAGTATATCTTGTTGTGGAAATTAAGATAAGATCTTACAAATATATGCAAGTCACAAGGCTTGTTGGGTTGAGATAAACTGATCAAGTTATTCTTTTCCCTTTAAAAATGAATTCATTGTCCTAAAATGACTTCCCTTTATCTCAAATTGCAGAATATTGTGTAAAATGTACAGAGATATTTTATATCAGCTACAAAAAAATTTCTTTAATTTTTTTTGATATATCTGCCTGATATTAGATACAGATTCTGAACTTCTGAAAGACAAGGAAGTGAGTGAAAGAGACAACAAGAACCATTCATCTCCTAGTCTAAGCCAGATTGAATCATCATCTGCGAGTATTCTTCAAAATGAGCTTTCTGTTCCAACAACAGATACTGGCTCAAGAGACAATAAATATGAGAAATATCTGTCCAATGTGTCTACAGAGTCCTGTGAGAGGGATCAGGTGCACTCAGTACAAGATTGTTTTATGGTGGACAGTAACATGGAAGAGCAACTGTCATCTCACTTTCCCCATGGGAACACTGTGAACTCTGAGGAGGAAATGGAGATCACATTCCAACCCTCTGTGTATGGGGAAATTGGAGACAAAGATATTAATTCCTTTCCTAATGAAGGTGTTTTGTTGTTGTTGTTGTTTTTTTTTACATGTTATAATATAAATTCTTTTTGAATTTGTGAATAATAAATGTTACACTAAACCCTTTAACTCCCAAGATCTGATTGTTAATTCT